CTGAAACAAAGTGATTTACTTTGGCAGGAACAAATAATAAGCGGGGTATAACATTTTGTACTTTGAGGAACGTGATTGTGTGCTGTGCTGCTGCCGCTGCTCTTGTATATGGCAAAGAGCAGCGCAGCAAAAAGGCATGATCCAAAGCCTCTGGAAGTCAACAGGAATCTGTCTTGCTTCCCGTTGGCGGGCTTTAGATCAGGCTACTATTGTCTTTGGCCACGGCTATGGTCCCTTCAATAAAGCAGAGAACAGAGCTCTGCATTGTGAGCCACTGGCCAGCCGTTTCCTTGCTCAGTGTGAGAAGCTGCCCTGATACCAAGGGAGGAAAGGGCCTCGAAATGAGTGAATGAACGCCACATCTCAGATGTGAGGTGGGGCTTGGGGTGGCAGAGGGATGAGGCTGTGAAGCTCTGTGGCAGGGCCCTGGGGTGCCTCTAAGCTGTGGTGTCTGCAAGGTATCTCTGGAGATTAAAGGTGAAGGCAGCCGTGAGTGGTGTTATTTTATGTAAGCTAGCGGCAGGGACTAACACGCTGTCCCTGTGTTAGAGGACTGAGTCATGGGCAGTCTGGCATGGGAATCAGGTCTTTAAGGGAGGGATGAGAGACAAGGTCCCTGTAGCTAATGGCCTGTGAGAAGGAGGTGTTACTCTACTGGCAGGAAACCCCCTTCTGATGCTGGGTCTGCACTAAAGGGCTCTGCCAGCACAGCTGTAGGAGCAGCACTTCTATAATGTAGACAACCCTTGTGCCTTGGTGGCTTTTCCTCATCCCCACTTTCCTTGTCTTGCAGGTGATACACAACTATGGCCACGGGGGTTTCGGACTCACCATTCACTGGGGCTGCGCCATGGCCACGGCAAGGCTCTTCGGCAGTATTCTTCAGGAGAAGAAGCTGGCCAGACCACCACAGTCCCACCTCTGATTTCACAGCAGCACCCTGGCCCGACTTGGGCAACCATTCAAAAGCCAGTAGCACAGAGAAAAAACCCCAGCACAGCAATATGTACATGCTTGCTCTTCAACACTCCCTACCACACCACCACTGGTCTGTACTGTATCGTTTTCAAACTATGCCAACTCCCTTTCTATTACTGCTGTTTGCCAAACATCGAGATTCAGCCTTCCTCTGTTCTCCATAAACGGCATAACAGATGTATTAAAAGAAAGCTGAAGACAGTCCTTTGGCAAAGCACATGTCTGGGTGCCCCAACTGTGATGTCTCTAATGCTCTCTAAAAGCATTAACACTGTCTGGCAACTAACGCTAGCCCATCTAAAGCCACATACCTTTGTGTAAGCAACTGTGCTACACCACAGAGACACTTAGGGCACTTCTATCCACTATTGTGTTGAGGTTCCAGAAACAGGGGGTCTTCAACTCCAGGAGGAGTAGGAGACTCTCCATTTGCAGCTAACAATATAAGGCTTCTGACACACGGCAGTTGTTCTGTTTCCAACTGACAGAGGAATGCATGTCTACATTAAACATTTCACTGCAGAAATTTTGTGCGACTCTGGCATGCTTGAGAGACAAGGGTAGCAGTAAAAAAAACAACCCACCCATGAAACCACTTTTTTTTGTCCTTTGCCTATAAAAAAGGATTCCCACTCTGGCTTTCAGCAAACCCATGTCACTGCACCATGATTACATGGGGAAGAGCCAGTTCCCCTGTGTTGTTGGGGAGGACAAATGTGCCCCTAAATGGGCTGTTGGAAAACACTAAGAGAGCTGATTAGATGCCTAATTTTATTTGTCATCTCATCCTTCTTTATTTTCTTAAAGCCAGATTTTAATGCACCTGAATCCTAAAGGCCAGATTCAAACGTGCTGGTGCACAATGCCTCTCTCATTAATAATGACATGGATGAGGTCTGAAATACTAGTTCAAGTAAAACAGGCCTGTAGCTCTTCTTTTCACGTCTCGCCAGTATTTCAGCCCTGTGGGATTTTAACTAGCCTCCAGGAAGAACTGCCGCCCCTGCTAGCATCTGCACATGCAAACGGTTCTGAAACCTGCATCACATGAAATGAGGAGCATTAACATCTCACAACGCCACATGGCAGTCAGGAGTGTCCTGTAATTGAGTTGACTTGTTCCCATTATGTGAGAGGATGCAGTTTTGCTTATGCAAAACTGGGCTGAATGAATGTGGGGGCTCAGATCCCCTTATTGTCAGGGCTGAGACACAAAGACAAGGGAGAGCGAGTTGGAGGCTTCCACTACCTCTGTTCACGTAGTAGCAGCAGTTCTATAGATAAACACTGATCCCACCTCCAGCAGCTGGGAAACCAGCTCTCATTTCTCACCACCCACCACTGCATAATGTCACAGAACCAAGCTGGAAATGATCCGTTGGCCACAAAACCATCGTCTGAATGCGACTCCACAAGAAGGGAGAACCTCTGAAATGGCCCGAGATTCCAGAAAGCTCAGAGAAATCCCTGAAAACTTCAATCCTCCCCTAAATGCCATCGTGACCCAATCTGCCATGACTATTACGTTACTTCTGTCCCAGGAGGCAAGAGCCCACTTCCCCCTGGACTATGGATTGGACTGTAGCCGAACAAGGACTGACACAGGTAAACTGCTCCATGCGGACATGAGAACAGGCAGCCTTGTTACACAGTACTTGCAAGACATTTATCATTTCGACCCAGATGAAAGACAATTACGCATGTGAATTGCTGCACAACAAAATGAAAGTATCTGTTGATGGTTAATGGGATACCGACAGGCCAAATCTGGCTGAAAATTTGTTTTACAAATTACAAATTTACAAAATATGCAAGACCTGGAGCCAATACATGATTCCATTAAAAAACAATCAGTGGAAACAGTTTAACCACTAAATGGTTCTTTGCAATGTCTGTAATCTGTATGTTGCTGCACTGAGGAGGTGACAGAGGAACTAGCTAGAAAATTATTAGAGACCAAATTAACAAGACTATTTTACCATCCAAGCTCAGTGAAAAGCAAAAAAGTAACCTCAGATCTTAAATAGTGAAAAATAAATATTTTATACATCCTTTAGTTTTAATAATCTGATGGGCTATTTCTCTGGAAGATAAGGAAGCTCACCTGCTCTTGTTCTTGTAGGAGAAAAACCCGTACCCAAATAGATGTCTGTGTTTTCAGAGTGCTGGACCCACCTGAAGTCTAGGAGCAGCGTATGCCCAGGAGAGCGGAGCATTGGGACAGCCTCACTGGAACGACTGACCCTTCAGAACAAGTCCGTGTGTTTTGAAGGTCTCCCATTGGCAAAACACAACATTACTGTAAAAACTATTCATTTATTCAACATAAAATATCTAGTGTGGAATCAAACTATCCAATGTTGCATCATTAACATAGGAACAAAAGAAAATAAAAGAGTATTGTACAACAAGCTCGATATACACAAAGATTTTTTTTTTTAAACATGAAAACGTATCCAGCTTAGAAACTGTACATTCAAACACAAGGAAACATTCAGTGTTCTTTCGGCAAGCAGGTAGGAATACGAAATCATTCATCAAAGCACATTGGGAGAATCAATTTTCCCCATGACAAGTCTGCACATTACTTCATCGGACAGTTAACAAATTTCTGAACCCCACAATTCTGTTTGCTTCCAAGTTTCATTCAAAATTATCTTTTTTTTTTCTTCCAATGAACAAGCTACATTAACACCTTTCATCAGTGAAGAATACAGAATGGCGTGTAAAACGGAATCTTTGGAAGCTTATTATATACATCCATGATGTTGCCACATTAGCAAAATATGATTTATGACTATTTATAGGCTATAGGGCATCAACCCAGACATTCACCAGTTTTCTCAGTGATCGGGCTAGAACAGGGGTGGGCAAAATGCGGCCCACGGGTCAGATGTGGCCTGCCAGGCCATTCTATCTGGCCCACGGGGCCCCTAAAAAAGTTAGAAAATTAATATTGATCTGCCCCTGGCTGCCTGTCATGTGGCCCTCGATGGCTTGCCAAAACTCAGTAAGTGGCCCTCCACCCGAAATAATTGCCCGCCCCTGGGCTAGAATGTCCTTCCGTTTACAATATTCAGGGACTCGCACTATTCATGTGAAACTTTGTTGCTCCTAAAGGGCCCAATTTTGCTCCCGGTCAAGTCAACAGCAAACTCCTACTGACTTGAAGAAGGCAAAATCAGCTCTTAAGGGCTCAGTTCTGTTCTTCTCTACTCAGAGTCTGATCAAAAGCCCATTAAGGGCAATGGAATAACTCCACTGACTACAGCAAGCTTTGGCTCAGGCCACTGAGCTGAAGACCCAGACTAGGTAGTTGGTTCA